GAATTTCTCCAAGCAGAAAGCTAAAACTGCCTTTAGTTTCTGGCTCCACCCCGTCTTAAAAAAGCAAAAACAAAAAATTAAGCTCATTGAAGAGATAACACTGGGTGCCCTGTAATGAGGGAAAAAGCTTTGGGGTGTGTGGAGAATGATGTTTCCTGGAAGGTAACAGAGGTCATTCAAAGCCATCTCCTTTCTTGTAGCAGCATCCCCTGGAGGTGACCGTACCATGGAAGAAATGTCGGGGTATGTCTGGGTACTGCATCTTGAGAGACTGGATCCCACAGTATAACAGAGGCATAAAAATCTATTACCAGTCTCATTGTGGCCCAGAAAGGATGCCAAAACAGAGAGGACCACACAGATGTGACAACTGCTCCAATGCCCCATGGTGACTCTCCAACACTTTCATGATGTGTAAGTACCTAGGACCTTTGTATAACCTCAGGGCAGGGACAAGACTAATCAAAACTAAGAATGAATATCTAACCAGTCAAGCACAACAGAGGCTTGGAGTATACATAGTCAATTTAGGCAAAGTACAGAAATATTTCTTGCAATACATAAGTCTATTGACTATGATTCATAACTAGTACACATATTTTAACTTCGTAGTAGAATGTAAGATAATTATTCATAATTAACACGAAATAGGGATATTCAAGATACTGAAAACTAAAGTGTTTAAAGTATTTACAGATGATTTACAAAACCTTGGACAATGAGGAAAATGAACTAAAAAGTACCATTAAAGTTTAAACAGGAACTACTTTCATTCATCATTCATCAATCACTTATTTACTAACTTATTCAGGAAAATTACAATGGTCTAATATTTAAATAATAAAGTCTTGATCTGACTGAAATTCCTTAAATCTCTTTTACTCACCTTGAAAGGATTTGAATCTAAAATGTAACCAGAGGATATGGAATGGAGAATCACACACATACACTATCAGGCAAATGAAACTCAAGAAATGGGAGACCAGTTCCCCTAAAAATGGCTGGGGAACTTATTTCACCACCAACAAACATCCCCTAAGAATCTTTGCTCATCCTAAAGTCAGTGTACTTACTGCTTGGAGTCTGGCTGGACTTCCTCCTTCTCTGTACTCCACTGCCATAAATACAGTCCACCCAAAGCCTTCAACAAATGGCCTGTAGTTTGCTATAGTTTGTGTTTCCCAAACTGCAATTCTTTTACTATTCCTGAGTAAACTCAGTTTCTGGTAGTTTGAGTTTACCCCAGTTTACCTCTTTATTTAGTTTGACATTCATCATAGGAAGCCATTTGGCTTTGATACAAACTAATGTGATCAATGGTCTGTAAAAAAATTGGAAAAATGGATGTAATTGTCCATGAATTCTTTTATTGGGTTCATGTTTATGCCAGTACTTTTTTATTCATTTGCAACATTCAATATAGAAGATGAAATTTTAAAAAGTACACACACACACACACACACACACACACACACACGTACCAACATATAAGCTAGAAATAGAAGACTGTTTTTGACCATTTTATATTTAGCATTGTCAAACAATACTCACATTATTCATTGTAAGTGGTTGCCAGTTAGGGAATTCAACTTGGTTCAGTTTTCCCAAAAAATAAAAGTGCTAATGATGTCTGAGCTTTCTGTGTTTAAAAGATAATTAAAATATGGTCTCTTCCTCAAGAAATTATAATCTGGAGAAAAAAGATGGGCCTGTAAACCAACATTATCACATTTCAAGATGCTGAATTCTATGATAGAACTCCAGGTAATCTTAGAGGAGGAAAACTGCCCAAGAAAAATATTTGGTAAATATTACATTCTATAAATATATACCAAGATCTGAAAAACAGTGAAATTTTAATTTAAATATGATATGTTTTCCACCTATCTGTCTCTTAACAGGATTCTTTCTCTATTTTGCCTGAGCTCAAATAATGTAAATGTCTTTAGTTAATGAGTAGAATACTTAAAAATTGGAAGTACTTAACACAATAGAATTTCATTGCAGCCCCAAACTATGGAATAATATGGTGGCCTGTAATTGTTCTCTTAGTAACTCAAAACAAGCATAAATCAAAATCTTAAGGTCATTCCTGAAGGAGCAAAAAAATCATTAGAGAAGAAACAGGAATCAAAGAAAAAATGGAGTGGTGCCTGAGCATCTGACTTTGGCTCAGGTCATGATCTTCTTCCATGTGAGACGGAACTCTGCACGAGGCTCCCCACTACTCAGTGGGAAGTCCGCTTGTTCCTCAGCCCCTCCCCCCAGTCATGCATATTCTCTCTCTCTCAAATAACTAAAACCTTTTTGTAAAAAAAGAAAGAAAGAATGGAACAAAATCTCTGAAGAAAGACAAATTTTGGATAGAGAGAGCCAAGAAAAATAAATCAGATTATGAAGACTAAAAGCTAAAAACCAATAAAGATATAAAACATATAAAATGATGCTAAGCTTTCCAAATAGGGGAACTGCCTGATTGGTGGCTCAATAAACAAAATAGAATTGACCATGAAAGAATGAACACTGAACGTGAGTATCGATATTCAGAAGACAGACTACCGAAATGTAAAAAGCTTCATGGTGTAAAATGTCTTAATACATGCATAAAAAATTTTTTAAGTTTATTTATTTATTTATTTATTTGAGAGAGAGAGAGAGAGAGAGAGGGTAAACATGAATGGGGGAGAGGCAAAGAGAGAAGGACAGAGAATCTCAAGCAGACTCCCTGCTGAGTGTGGAGCTTAAGTCAAGACTCCATCTCAAAATCCTGAGATCACAAACTGAGCCAAAACCAAGACTCAGTCACCTAGGTACCCCTGCATGAAAAAATTTCTGCTGAAAATTACATTGATGAATTTTCTAAGGTGATATCTGCTGCAAACCTTAGTTCTGAACCTGATGAAAGAGTTCTGTATTGCTGCTATGTTCGGAAGAAATTAACCATGGCTGGGGAAAGGAAAACTGCAGGTTTTAAGGACACTAACGCTGGTTGGCTGTTCTTAGGGTCCTAATGTTGTAGGATGAACTTGGCAGTAATTAGAAAAACCCAATGTCCACAGTATGTGAAGGATATACCTGATCTGTTTATGCATCACTGAGTAAACAAAGAAGTCTGAATAGCCAGAGAAGTAGATGAGTGACCTAAGAGCTGAATGACCACTGCACCAGGTACGTGAAGTTATTATAGCAATCTGTACAAGAAGAAAAATGTAAAATTTATTCTTCTCAATAACTGTTCTCTGTATCCCCTCCTGGACTATAAAAGGCATTTGTTCAATATTTGTTCTTACCACTTATGCAATGTAACACTAGTGATAAACACATGTGGCCATGAAATTTTATATCCTATAAATTTAAGTATAAACTTGTCTTAACTGTGGATTTGCTGACGCAGAGATCCAAGAATCTAAAGAGATGTGATGAGTTCAGCCTTAATGATGCCATTTATGTCAATTACAAATGTATGTATAGACACATATTTCCAATTCTCTTGAGTATGGACAAGGAGTGAAATTATAGGATCTTGTGATAACTCCATATTTAACTATCTGAGGAATTGCCAGATTGTTTTCCAAAGGGCTACACTATTTTACCTTCTCACCAGCAGTGCCTAAGGACTCTAATTTCTCCACACACTCACCAACACTTGTCTTTTTAAGTTTATTTAAGTAATCTCTACTATACCAAATGTGGAGCTCAAACTCACAACCTCAAGATTAAGAGTTGTGTGCTTCTCTGACTGAGCCAGCCAAGCCCATCAAAACTTGTCTTTTTAACTACAAATATCCAAACGGGTATGAAAAGGTTTTATTTGAATTTTCCTGATGGCTAATGATATTGAGAATTTTTTCATGTGCTTAGTAGTCATTTGTATATTTCCTTTGAAGAAATGTCTGTTCAGATCCTTTGCCCATTTTTAATTGGGTTATCTTTTATTAATGAGTTATAATTATTTTTTATATCTTCTAGATACAAATCCTTTATCAAATGTGTGATTCCCTGACATTTTCTCCCATTCCGTGAGTTATCCTTTCACTTTTTTGATGGGTATCCTTTGAAGCACTAAAGTTTGTAATAATGATGACACATTGGGTCTGTTATTTCTTTGATTGTATGTGCTTTTGTTGTCATATCCTAGAGACCATTTCCTAAATCAGAGTCACAAAGATTTAGGTCTATGTTTTCTTTTAAGGGTTTTTATAATTTTAACTCTTACATTTAGCTCTTTGATCTATCTGAGTTAATTTCTGTATATAGTGTGAGATAGGGTTCCAACTTCATTCTCTTGCATGTGATTTTTGTATATTGATCTTGTATACTGCAACTAGGCTGAGCTTCTTTATTAGACCTAATAGTCTGTTAGTTAATTCTTTAGCATTTTCTATAAATAGCATCATGACATCTACAAATTGAGATTGTTTTACATTTAAAAAAAACAAATCTAATTGTTTTTATGGAAATATAAGCAAAAAAAAAGAGTACAGTTTTTAGTTTTGAATAATAATCCCCAAATATGTTTTGTGGAATACAGATTCTTGGGATATAATTACCTCCTAAAAGGTTTTGTTGTGAAATAAGTTTGGGAAACACTACACTAAACAAAATTAAATAGGTTTGCATACCCTAAGATCTCTAGGAGTAGTTAATATCCACCTGTGCACTGCAAATCTCCCTAAGTAGCAAGCAGTACAATATATAATTTTTTCTACACTTGACCAGGAGAAACCTTTAGAACACTATCTCCTAGAGTCACATGCATGAAACATTTTGGGAAATTCTAACTGATATCACTAACCTATTTTTAGCACTTGTGACCATGCCCCTTACTAGAAATTCTGGATGGACAATTAACTTCAAGAAAGGAACACTTACCAAATTAATCATCTTAATGAATGGTTCTGATAATGAATCAGATGGTCAATAAGACAAGAGCATTAGTCATCAAGATAAGGACTCATACAAAATAGTTCTTACTGAAATAAAAATCTGGTACTCACCTTGAATCTAAAGATTTATGTGGAGCCTCAAAACAAAAAATGTTTACAAATTGCAGAAATATATTTCAAACAGCTCCAGCAAGTTGTCCAAGTGCTTGGCAGTTCATCCGCAACCTGGAGTAGACCCAAAATTATTAAAAAAAAAAAAAAAAAAGAGAGAGAGAGAGAGAGTTTTTAACATTAAGCCCTAGTGTATTTTTTAAGCTGATTAAAACAATGTTGGAAAAGTACACTTTAAAAGACAATTTTGGAGAACTAGACAATATTAAAATTGTATCGAGCCTTTGGGTAGGTAGCAGGATAAAAGAATACAAGATTTAGACTGTAACCTTAAAGATCAAATGATAATTTGATTGGGGGCATCTGGGTGGCTCAGTGGGTTGACCTGCTCTTGGTTTCAGGTGTCCTGTATTTTACAGTGGTGAGATGGGGGGGGGGGGGGGGGGGGGGGGGGGGGGGGGGGGGAGGTGCCTTGGCCTCTGCCCTTGGCAGGTAGTCTTGGAGATTCTCTTCCTCTGCCCCTCCCCCCACTCACATATGCACTGTCTCTCTCTCACACATAAATAAATAAATAAATCTTTTTAAAAAATAATAATTTGGTCAAAGACCACCAAAAAGATAGAATCCATTCAGACACATTGTTAAAATAAGGTAAATAAGGTGATCCTAGTATCACCTTACTCCACATATACACACAGATTTTTCCTAATCAACAGCTCATACCTTTTTCTCAAGATTAATTGCCTTTTAAAACTCTTATTTCACATCATCAAGATACCCCCCAACACACACACACACACACACACACACAGCGCCACACACTTCTCCAAAATTCTGAACTTTCTCTTTTTAAGATCAAAAGAGTTTGCCTATAAAAAAAGGCGTGGGGCGGGAGAATTCACCAACTATATAAAGACTTGAAGACTGTCCAGCAAGGCAAGGAGAGTTCCGAATTAAAGGTTGCCAGGAGAACAAGCAAATCCAGTCCAGAAAAAATAAGAGTTTCCCCAATGATATTAAGAAAGTTACCCCACCTCCTTTAGTATCCCCAGGAAAAACAAGCCATTTCCTTATGAAATAACTGAAGGCTGATTCCCCCACCTTCTCCCTCCCTGCCCTGGCGGGAGTTTCCGCACTGGAATGCTGAGATTTCTTCCGTGGGACGGGAGTGGGGGGTCCGGGCGACGGGCATGAGTAATAGAAGCTCCTTCCAACAGCCAGAGCTATAGAATCCTGTAACAAGGCTCAGCACACCCATTTGTGGGTCTTTGTGGGGCTCCCGGCCGCCCCCATGGTGGATGTGACCGCCTGAGCTCTCAAATCCTCGGAAGCCGGACTCACCAAGGTTCTCGAGGTCGCTGGGGAATGAGGCTGGTTGCTAAGGACGCTGAGGGAATCAAGGAGCCTGATGGTTGCCCTTTCAGCGGCTGGGCTTAGCCAATCAGAACGTGTAAATGCAATTCCACATTCCCTTCCCCTCCTTCACTACCTGTGTGTTCACTTTCCAACGAATAGATGCAATGATGTGTAAAAGACATCATTAGCTTTAAAATACAATCATAAAGCCCAGAGTAATGATTCGTTTTAAATTCTGTACATACGTTGGCTACACAGCCAGAAGCTCCGGGGAGAAAGGGTTTGGCAGTGCTTTTTAGTGGCTCCTCAACGTCTAAATGCGTCCTCCAAAAACTTTGCCTGCCCCCAAATCTAAATTTAAAAAATAAAAACAACATGATTGCTATATAAAGGTAGCTGTGTTTTCTAATCCAATTGCTATTTCTAAGCTCTTTTTACATAGGATATCTAAACCTGCCAATGTTCTCTGCAGTTAGGATAGGGAGTAATCAAAGCATCCACAGTGTTCTGCACATACTAAGTACAAGAGGGAGAATTTAAACACAAAAGAATGCCTAATTTCTTAAAAAGATTTTATTCACTTGACAGAGAGAGAGAGAGAAAGAGAGCACAGGCAGGGGGAGTGGCAGCAGGCAGAGGGAAAGGGAGACGCAGGCTCCCCACTGAGCAGGGAGCCTGATGTGGGGCTCCATGTGGGACTCCATGTGGGACTCAATCCCAGGACCATAACCAGAGCTTAAGGTACATGCCTAACTGACTGAGTCACCCAGATGCCCCAAGAATGCCTACTTTTTAAAGATAGGATCCAATAAAATTAATTTAAATCCCTATAAAATTCCTACCTATCCATGGGTGAGGAATGTCAAATATTCTACAAATGTTCACAAATGTTTCAATGGAAACATATGGAACAATGGAAACAATATGGAAGAGCAATTCTGATCAAATTCAAAGCTAATATGCAGGTATTGTCCTGGTGAAATAACTGCCTTAAAAAAATTAATAACTTCAAAAGAGAATTTAACTGATTCAAACTTGAAATACATCAATCCTGAATTATTTCTGTTTATAATAAGCACCAAATAAGTCTTTTGTTTTTTTTAGTATATTTGATATTTAAAACAGAAATTATTGGCCCAAACCCACAGAATGTACAACACCAAAAATTAAATTTAATATAAACTTCAGGCTTTGGATGATTATAATGTGTTAGTGGAAGTCTATCAAGTGTAACAAACGACTACCCTGATGGAGGATGTTGATAATCAGGAGCTATGTATGTTTGAGGTTAGGGAGTACCTGGGGGATCTCTGTACCTTCCTGTTAATTTTGCTATGAACTCTAAAAATAATACTTTTTTGTAAATAGTCATTTAATTCTAAAAAATGAAAAGTTTAAAAAAACAGAAATTACAATATCAGATCACAGGCTTTTCTGAAATACTTTCCTCCTAGTAGATCAGTAAGTTGAGAGTAAGAACAAAAGTGAAATTGAGAAACACTATAAAAGATGTATCTCAGAAAGCAAATCTTAGAGTGCCAACCTCACAGAATGTGTTCTAAAAAGGGAAAACAAAGACATAAATAATAATAAAGAACAGCAGGGGAAAAACCTCTTTGATCAAAAAAAAATTTTTTGAGACAGCAATCAAGAGTGCTTACCATATTCCAGCCATAGCAACATTTTTCTAGATATGAGACAAGGAAACAAAAGCAAAAATTAACTATTGGGACTTCATTAAAATAAAAACCTTCTGCACAGCAAAGGAAACAATCAACAACAACAAAAAAGATAACCTATAAATGGGAGAAGATAAATGTAAATGACACATCTGATAAAGGGTTAGTATCCAAAAATATAAAAAGAATGTAAACAACATCCAAAAACAAAAACTCCAATTAAAAATAAGCAAAAGCCATGTACAGACATGTTTCCAAAGAATATAACCAGATGGCCAAAGATGATGAACATCATTTATTATCAAGGCAATGCAAATCAAAACCACAATGAGATATCACCTCACACCTGTCAGAATGGCTAAGCTCAAGAACACAAGAAACAAGCAGTATTGGCAAGGATGGGGAGAAAAGGGAACCTTGTGCTCTGTCAGTGGGAGTGCAAACTGGTGCAGCCACTGTGGAAAATAAGTAGGATGCTCCTCAAAAAATTAAATATAATACTACCCTATGATCCAGTAATTCCATTTTACATTTCCATTTTAATTCCACATTACTGGGTATTTACCCAAATAATATGAAAACACCAGTTTGAAAAGATATCTGCACCCCTATGTTCATTGTAGTGTTATTTATAATAGCCAAAGTATGGAAGCAGACAAAGCGTCCATCAATAAATGAGTGGATAAAGAAGGTGTGATGTATATATCACATTATTTGCATATAATGGAATACTACTGAGTCATAAAAAAAGAATGAGATCTTGCCCTTGCAACAATATAGATGGATCTAGAAGGTATAATGCTAAGTGAAATAAACCAATCAGAGAAAGACAAAAAACATGTGATTTCACTCATATGTGGAATTTAAGAAACAAAATAAACAAAAAAAGTAGAAAAAAGACAAACAAACAAACAAAAGACTCTTAAATATACAGAATAAATTGATAGTTACCAGAGGGGAGGTGGATGGGGGCGATGGGTTGAAATAAGAAAAAAAAAAAGGAGTGCTTACCATACTCCAAATAAAATGAGTATGGAAAGACTGCAGCACATAAACATAACTAATTTTTTTTTAATTTCCCGAGATCTAGAAAAAATACTAGAAGCATTAAAAATACAAAGTGTTAAACAGATTACTCACAAAAAAAAATTGGATTAAAAACTCTTCACATTTAAAAATCAGCTGATTCTGTAGAGCATTTCTAAAAAAAGTAGCTCGTCATGAATTCTATATGGAAGACAACTAAGGGCATGTTTACATAAGGGAGAATCCACAAATTCTTCTCTTACTCCTCTATACTTTAAGATGAAACTATTCAAACCACACAAAGAGCACACCACTTAGACATTAATCAAAGTGTTAAGAACTCAAAAATGCAGAAGTTGTGACTGGAAACATCTGATGTTAAGCTCTGAAACCAGATATACCTAAACAATTAATTTTCCCTTGGCCACAAAATGAAAAAGACAAAAAAATTTTTTGAAAGAGACATGTTTTTAGCTTTTGTAATCCAGGTTCAAGTAAAGAAGTGTGAGAAAGGAATAGGAGCAGTCCTCAATTTTCATAAGGACATGTAAAATAAAGATGTTACACTATTGTTACGTGGAGGAATTCAGTTAGATCCAAAATTCATACTGTATACTAAATGATGGATCTCAAAAAAATATAAATATATAACATGTTTTTGTAAGCGAACACTTAGTGACATAAATATAGAACTTGGCAAGTAGAAACCATGAATCACTGAAGGAAATATTTCATAGACTATAAAAAAAAATCTAACATCTTAAAGTTACCATATAAATTATATGTGAATACATCTCAAATCCCACAGAGTGAGCGTGTGTGTGTGTGTGTGTGTGCATGCATGTGTATGTTTTAGAAGAATGAGAGTGAAGAATGAAACATTTTTTTAAGTTCATTTGGAAGAATAATGGGCAGATTAGCCAAGAAAATTACAAAAAAGAAGAAAGGATATGAGGGTGTGGCTTAATACATATTAAAACTTATTGTGAAAATTTTTTCTTGGTCCATATATACATTTGAAATAAATAATTTCAATATCTTCAAATTCCATCCTTGAGAAAATATATAGCTGCATCATGGTAGCTAACAGGGTGACTTGCCATAGTAGTGCTTAATAAATATTGCTGGGTGAATTCCTGCATAAAAATGTAAATGATTTGGGGCGCCTGGGTGTCTCAGTGGGTTAAAACCTCTGCCTTTGGCTCAGGTCATGATCCCAGGGTCCTGGGATGGAGCCCCACATTGGGCTCTCTGCTCATCAGGGAGCCTGCTTCCCCTCTCTCTCTCTGCCTACTTGTAATCTCTGCCTGTCAAATAAATAAAATCTTTTAAAAAATGTAAATGATTTTATCTGGTGAGCTAAATTCAGTTTATGAATTTCTGAGTAAAATATTAATATAAATGAATGACCTGCTTCTTTTGTACTTTAGCAGGTAATATCATTTTTTGCCAATTCTTGAAGACTGTCAAAATAATCTATATTCTTCACTTGTATTTCAACTTAAGTCTGACTGAATAATGACTGGACTTTTAAAAACACATACTAAGCTATTCAGGACTATAACTATTTCTATCATATGAGTTTTTCCAAAGCAAACTAATCCTTCAAATTGACTTACTAAGGGAAAAGGCAAAAAGAAATTATCCATATTTTTCTATTAATAATACAATTTTGTGAAATTTTTCCTAATTTTTTATATTTGATGCCTTCAGTATACTCCATCCACTCATTGTTATGTAATAGTTTAATTGTGCTTGTTTAAAAATATGAACACAAATTGTTCAATAACCTCCCTTTAGAAGATAGAGCCAAATTCTTTCTACTTAGTGTTGGCTTGGATTTAGTGACTCACTTCTAGAGATTAGAACGTGACAGAAGTGATGAAGTAGAATTACGTCATAAAGACAGTGTAGGATACTCTTTGCTTTCTCTCGAATCATTTGTTCAGGGAAAAAGTCACCTGTCACTTTAGAAGGACACTCCAGAGTTCTATGGAGAGGCGGTCCTGGGTGGCTTAGGTCAGTTAAGCATCTGACCCTTGATTTCGGCTCAGGTCATGATCTCAGGATTGTGAGAGTGAGTCCCGAGTCAGGCTCTGTGCTGGGTGTGGAACCTGCTTATGATGCACTCTCTCCCTCTCCCTCTGTCCTCCTCTTCCCTTACCCTCTCTCCCGCTCACATGCTCAAGCTCTCTCTCTCTCAAAAAAAAAAAAAAAAAAAAAAAGAAAAAAGTTCTATGGAGAGCTCTACGTAGCAAGGAATTAAGACCTCCTGACAGCAAATCAGCAAGAAAAGGAGGCATTGTTTCCACAATTAACTGAGTGAGTTATCTTGGAAGTGACTCCTCCAGTCCCAGTCAAACCCAGTTAAGTCTAAAATAACTGCACCTCAAATTGAAGTCTTGACAGCAATGTCATGAGAGACACAGACCCCCCCGTGCATGCCTGAAACTGTGATAGTACCAAATCCCATATATGCTTTTTTCTTCCTATACATACATTCTCATGATAACGTTTAATTTATAAATTAAGCACAGCAAGAAATTAACAACAGTAGTTAATAATAAAATAGAACAATTACACTGTAATAAGAGTTTTGTGAATGTGGTCTCTCTCTCAAAATATCTTCCTGTCCAGTACTCACCCTTCTTCTTGTGAGGATGTGAGGTGATAAAAGGCCTACATGATGAGATAGAGTGAGATAAATGCCATAGGCATCGTGATGAAGCATTAGGCTACTACTGGTCTTCTGACTATACTTCAGAAGGAGGATCATCTGTTCCTGGCCTGCAGTTTACTGTGGGAAAACAGAAAAGCAAAGGCAACTGAAAACCTGGGAAAGGGAAACCATAGATTAGGAGGCACTTTTCTACTGTCTCCTACCTGAGCCACTTACAGTGGTCTACTCAATAGAGGCTTCCACCTTTGCCCCATAGGGAATTCACATTGGTCCTTCAAAAACTTCATTAGGGTCATCTCATTCCTCATCTCAGGAAAGCCCTGCTAAATCTGTCCCGTATTCTCTTTCTGCTCTCAGTGAGCCCTTGCTCACTAACTACCTAGCTTGTCACCAGGACTTTACACTTACTTCTGCCTTGAAAATGTTTCTTCCAGATATTCACACAGGGCTCATTCCTTCACTTCATTTAAGTTTGTTTAAAGATCTCTTCCTCACAGAGGACATCCTTGACCAACCAATCTAAAAAACACTGCCTCTACCACTGACTTGATTTTATTAAATAAATCATGTGTCATTATTTGACATTGCATTATGTTTGTTTCATTATCTGACATGATTTATTTATCTATTAGTCATCTCCTAACTAGAATGTGAGTTCTAACAAGGCAAGGACTTTGGCTTATTTATCATTCTAACTTCATTGCTTAGAACATTAACTGTATGGAGGATAGGTGCTCAATAAATATACTTCGCTTAAAGGACCATATAGAGAATCATTTTAATTAATAATTAATGGATAATCACTTGATATTTGGTATCCTGACAATTTTTCCTGTTACGAGCAATTATGTCATGAACATGTGCATAAGTAAATATATATACCTTATATTTGTTTCCTAAGATTTAAGAGTCAAAAGATTATCATTTTTACAGTTTTTTAGACATTTTGTCAAATAGCTCTCCAAGAAAAAGTTGTTATATTTTATGCCACACTAGAAATGAATGACAGCCACTTTCTTCTCACATTGCATGACAATGTACATTTTCCCTTTTAAACATTGTCTTTTAAATAGGGAAATATAGCTATTAAGTTTTCCTTTCTTCAATTACTGGCAGACATTTTTTCACATAAAATGCTGAGGCATTTATTTTATTTCAAAACGGCGGGCATTTTTTTTATGACTTGCCTCTTCATGTTATTTGCTTATATTTCTACTGATATACCCTTACTTATTGCTAAGAGCTTTTTTACAATAAAGTGACTCATTGTCTTTATCATGTTAAAACGTAGTTTTTCCTAGTTTGTGATTTTTTTTCAATTTTGATTACTATGTTTTCCCTTATTTATTTGCATACAGAATTTTAAATTTTATATGGTCAAATTGATTAGTCTTTCCATACATGGTTTTTGACATTTCTGTCACTTTTAGAAAGTTTGCCAACTGACTATTTGAAAAATAACCCCTTATTATTTTCTCCCAATATTCAATCTTTTTAAAAATAAAGAAAAAAATACAATTTATTGCAGCTGGAATTTATGTGGGGGTGAGCTGTGAGGAGGGGCTGTTATTGTTTCCTCCCCTCAACTGGCTACCCTGCTGTCCTTCTTTTACTAATTCATCTTTTCTTCATTGATATGGATGAGAAATTGTGAGATGCTATGGTTTTTATATTAAAAGTGCACACACACGCATAAACACAGGCCTTTCTCTCCTTCTCCTTTTAAGAAACAAGTTTAGGACCTGAGCCAAATGCATCTTTACTTCAATCATTTCTAAGGAACAGAGAAATATTTTGTATTGCCATGCTCAATAATTAATTTGATATTAATTTGGTATTAGTACTTGAGTAATACTGGATACTCAATATTATATATCTAGTAATACCAGATACTCAATACCCAATTGATATTATATATCTAGTAATACCAGATACTCAATACCCAATTGTATTGAGAGACTCAATACAATTGCCTAAGCCACATACCAACCCTATGAATGAAGTTATCGCTTCAAAGAAAGGGTCGCGTCTGGTTGATTAAGAATCATGTGTCAAGATTCTCTTCTGAAAGCCCTCAGAATCCTGGACGTCCAGTGGGGAAGTAGGGACACAGGAAGAATCCATGGAAGGCTCGATCAAGTCTCGGGAGAAGGACTTTGCCCGAAGAGCCCATGGAGCCCATGAAAACAGGTAGTAGAGGACTCTGTTCAGAAGTCCTCTTAGTTGTTCAACTAGGATCTCAATCTTGAACAGTATCACTAGACTTTAAAGACACTAAGTGACTTAGATGCACCAGGAAAAAGAAAAAAATTACAACTGTTTGTAGCCTCGGAAAAGCAAAATGCTTAATTCCTAAATCCCGAGAGCAGTTTACATTCGTGCGGGAGCGGACGGGGAAAGGAGGTTTTCTCCACAGACGGTCTTTTGTAATGCTTGCTCTCGCTGTCCATAGTACCTTTTAGTTCACTGGGCAGAACCAGCTCTCTCAATAGAACCTAGCTAAAACTCTAAGTGCGGGAGGCAAAGCTACAGAGACGTTACCAACACCCCGCAACTCTAAAGTCTAACCGATGCCTTGCAGCGGGCGAGGCACTAGACCAGTGAGGAAAAGAGAAGACCTAGATCTGAGGCCTTTTGAGTGCAGAAGGACATTTCTGGTTGAGATCTCAGTGAGTCAGCTCCACCGACGCCTCACGCCCCTCGATAAAACGTCTTTATTCGACATCCGCTTATCCAGGCTGTCCTTCCCACCCCAGTTCCCTTGGCTTCTCTTTGGTACAATGTTCCATTAACCTCACAGTCATTTTTCCACCTCCTCCAGAGAGCGATTTTCTTGAAGGATTGGTCCTAGGTTACCGCCGCGTCTCCGTAGCAACGCTCTCTCTCACCAGTCCGCCGGAAAAGGTTATGATCACGTGCTCGCCGAACTTCCGGGTTTGCAACGTGACTTCCGGTTGTCAGATCGCTCCAGACGCGGCGGGGGGCCGGGAAGAAGCCGAGTGGCTGGAGGTCGCGGTGGCCCCAGTGGTCGTGGGCTCCGGGTGGGCTCGCATCATCCTGCCCCGTCTGCGATGCATCCGCGGCGCCCGGACGGATTCGATGGCTTGGGCTATCGGGGCGGTGCCCGGGATGAGCAGGGTTTTGGCGGCGCTTTCCCTGCCAGGTCCTTCAGCTCCGCGTCGGACCTGAGCCACTGGGTGACCACTCCCCCAGACATCCCCGGTAGCCGCAACCTGCACTGGGGCGAAAAGAGCCCGCCCTACGGCGTACCCGGCCCCTCCACCCCGCTCGAGGGCCCCGCGGAGGAACCGTTTCCCGGCGGCAGCAGCGGCGGCGGCGGCGGCGTGCCGGGACAGAGCACCGGTGAGGGACTTGGGAGCGAGGCGGGGGTGGGTGGAGTGGCGGGGCCGCGGCTCGCGGCCTGCAGACCGCGGAAGCCGCGCGGAGGGTCCCGCCTCCGGTGTCGCTGGACCTATCGCGCGCCACACCCTTTGCCCTCCTTTCGTCCTCTGCCCTTGCAGCGGGCCTGCTCCGTCTTCCTTGCACAAACCTTTCCTCCGGGATCACCTCGGAACAGACACCTGCCTTAGCTCTGGGCTGCGTGGTAGGAGCTTCGAAGGATTTTGGTGTGTGACATCCCATGGCCTAAATCAAGAAGGAAGGAAATTGGATTATTTGTTGTTTATTGGGAATTATGTGAACAATACCTAGTTTACTGACACCATTATTGCCTTGAATTAATAATGATAGCTTTGGGTTCTGTAAAGTTTTTCAGCATTGGCAGGCTTCGATTCAAACCTGACTGTACCACTCTCAAAAGCTAAGACATTTTGTTAACCTCTGAGAGCCTTGCGTCTTTTCACCTTTAAGGTGGCTAGAAGAAGAATTCATAGAGGTTTTTTTTTTAAGGTTAAATAAAATGAGGTGTAAGTAATGCCTCGTATAGTATGGAGCACATAGTAAGCTAAAAAAAAATATTCGTTTCCTTCCTTTTCTCTTTTAATCATAGGAATTTTGTCTGTTTTCTAGACTCTCAAACTGTACTCCTGTATTTTCCCATCGCCTATTTCTCACCTAAAAACTCCACTAAGAAGTAAGAAACAGTGAGACAATGTCAAGACGTTGGAATCAGGACATAATTATTCACTGTAGAATGTCAGAAGACCTGTGTTTTAATTATAACACTGTGACCTAAATATTCTCAACTTTTTGTTTATTCACAAAATGGAAATAATCACTGCCTCTTCCCGTTTTGAAATCATGAGAATAATAGACTAGACCATTAAATATTAAGTATATTCTAGATGTATTCATTTGCATTTATTTATGTGTACTTGGAAGTACAGTAATTTTTATTTGATTTGAGTTAACTTGGAGGAATAGATTTTAAATATCACCTAAGAGCAAATGAGGAGGAGGAGGAGGCTCTTACACAGTGTTATACAGTTTGTTTTTTCACCTTCTCTAGTTTTCTTTCTGTGGTCCCAAAGGAGTACCGGAACGTTAAAAGTAATTCAAAATGCATATATGATTGCTACACAGTTAACTTCTTAGGCAGTAAAGCTGATATTTTTATCTTTTTATAATTTGTGCTTTAGTGGTTAGAGTGAGGAGGAACTCTTAAAACCAGGGGGTGTTTGCAGCAGTTAAGAGGTTGGCGGTGGTAATTTTGCAAGGATAATTGAAGACTGAGAGACTTAGTTAACTTACACAGTTAATAAACCTTTCTAACACTTTGCAGAAAATATCACTGGCATTTTCTGTTAATATACATGCAAAAAGGGAAAAGCTGAAAGGAGGAAAGTATCTTAATTGGCAAAAGAACCTTCTATCTGGCTTGTACATTTTTCAAGGCAAGGGTTAACAAAATAGTTTCCCCAGGGACATGTTTACATGGCCTTATTCTGACAGCATGTGAAAGAGCTGAGACAGAGAAAAGAGGAGGAGAGAAAAAAAATTATCCCTTGTGAATATTGTATTATAGTAGAAATGTAATGTCTGGTCCCCTGAGGTTGTGGTATTTCACCATCATGATTTTTAGATTTTTAGCCAAGGAGAAATTCTTTTATTTGTTTTGACGTATGCATAGGAGTGTTTCCAGCTGTAAACTTTTCTAATAAGACAATAGAAATGCCATCAGGAGTAGTGCATATGTACCCAGTAGCTTCTCACAGAGATCTAACTAAGCAATTACTCTCAAAATATTTAAAACTTGTCGGGAAGCGAGCCTCATTTAACCATTTTGATTACACTAAGTATGCTTTCGATTTAATAATTTTGAGGTGTCTTACTTGCAACTGTTCATTTAACATAGATGTTTTCCATCAATAACAGCAAATGACTAATTTTACAAGATAGGAGGTGAAGTTGTTGGTTAAAAAAATTTAAATTGTTTGTAGTTAGAAGTTGAAAAGTGGTTATCATTAGTTTCTACCTGCAGACATGTTTGATTTGGCCCACAGTTTTGTAATGCTTTTTAAAATAGTTGCTGGTATTTTAAAATTGGAAGATAGTATGTAAAAATGACAATATCTCTTTAGAAAAATAACAGTTTATAAACACTGGGCCCACAGTCCCACATGTCAACAGTGGATTGGAGCTGAAGACCAGGTCTGTCTTGCAGCTTCCCACAGCTTCCCTGACCCATATCAGAATTTGACTCTAGGACCTAGAATTTAAGTAAATATCATGTTAATAAAAGAAAAAAAATTTTTACAGTAAACCTAAGTATTGGTTATGAGTAATCTTATTTCTTCCTGTTTTAGAGCAGTTGAATAGATTTGCTGGATTTGGTATTGGCCTTGCAAGGTAATGTTTTTTTCTAATGATTTTTAATTGAAGTTTTTATTTAAAGTATTTTATTCAGAGTGTTTTAATATAAGATATTAAATGATTAGTATTGCTTCCTTTAGATTGATTCTTTGGAGCAGTAGATTAAATGTTGAATAATATTTTGCAGAAAAAGTTATTTAAAATCTATAACTTGATTTTTTTTTTAGTAAGGATAGAGAATAGTCATTCAATTTATAACCACAAAATAATTTTGTAAGTTATATAACTTTCATGTGTCTGTCCAAAAAATCTGATCTAATCCCCCCTCTAAGAGAAAGTTATTTGCATTGAACCTTCCCCTAAACATTCTAATTGTAATATGATATTTAACAACATGAAGTCTGGGTTTTGCTTACAATCAGCATTTAATGACCATTATTTTTTTAATTTTTTTTAATTTTATTTTATTTTTTATATTTTATGTATTTATTTGACAGAGAGACCACAAGTAGGCAGAGCAACAGACAGAGAGAGAGAGGGAAGCAGGCTTCCCGCTGAGCAGAGAGCCCGATGCGGGGCTCGATCCCAGGACCCTAGGATCATGACCTGAGCCGAAGGCAGAGGCTTCACCCACTGAGCCACCCAGGAGCCCCTATTTTTTTAATTTTTAATGATCATTTTGTGGGGAAAAAACCCTCCAATTTTGATTATGTGATCTCTAATGAATATTATTTCAAAATACATCAGAATTCCACAAAGGGTTATGTTGCATGCCAGGACAACTCATTGTTTTAAAATTTTAATCAAGAAAAAATTATCTTATTTGCATAAATAAACCTGAGAGTGTTACTGTAAATAGGAGCATAATTGTGAATTAAAATTTTCCTTTTGCTACAATTAATTTTTCTTTAGCTTCACTGTTAAAAGCTGTTGTTCATTTGATACTTTATTTATTTTAAGGGGTTTTTTTTTGTTTTTTTTTTAATTTGACAGAGATCGCAAGTAGGCAGAGAGGCAGGCAGAGAGAGAGGAAGGGAAGCAGGCTCGTTGCTGAGCAGAGAGCCCGATGTGGGGCTCGATCCCAGGACCCTGGGATCATGACTTGAGCCAAAGGCAGAGGCTTTAACCCACTGAGCCACCCAGGCGCCCCTGATTACATTATTTATATGTGTATATGTATACACCCTACATGTGCTCTCATGCTTGTGCAGCTGTCACTGTTAGTATGTAAGCCTGCAATTGTAATTATTTTGTAGGGAATGCTCTCAGAAGAAATATTTGATATCCAAAATAGTAGTCAATTAATAGTTATTAAAATCCTTATAACTTAATC